ATTTCTGCACTTTGTAGAAAAACATCGAGCCAACGGGGGGTGACGAGCCAAGGGGGGTTGACGAGCCAAGGGGGGTTGACGAGCCAAGGGGGGTTGACGAGCCAAGGGGGAGTGATGCGCCAAGGGGGAGTGATGCACCAAGGGGGAGTGATGCGCCAAGGGGGAGTGATGAGCCAAGGGGGAGTGATGAGCCAAGGGGGAGTGATGCGCCAAGGGGGAGTGATGTGCCAAGGGGGAGTGATGAGCCAAGGGGGAGTGATGTGCCAAGGGGGAGTGATGCGCCAAGGGGGAGTGATGCGCCAAGGGGGAGTGATGCGCCAAGGGGGGGTCATAAGCCGCCCAGTATGCACGACTGCTACAAGAGTCACGGCTCCCTGGTTGCTTGTGCAACTGCTTGAGATAGTTGCGCTTAGGCATGGGCATCTGGCCCGACCCGGCCCGACCCGTCCCGTTTAGGGCGACCCGTTAGCTTAACGGGTCGGGTCGGGTCGGATCAGCGGGTCGGGTTTGACTCTGTTTTGGTGACCCGACCCGCCCCGTTAGAACGGGTATTTGTGACCCGTAACCGGGTCGGTTACACTACGGGTCGGGTCGGGTCGGATCAAAATATGGTAGGTGCAGTGCAGATTTACTAGCTTGATCTAGTCTAGAGACTGGATCTGAATGTCGAGGGAAACAAAACATCAAAACCAACTGATGTTCTCCCCCTCTCAGGAGTGCACCCTAATCAGAGAACAAGTCGGGTAACCCTGTCATTTGACTGGGTATGCGACCCGGACGGGACGGGTCAACCCGACCCGGCGGGTCGCTGATACCCGTCCTTAAATCACAGTGACGGGTCACGGGTCGACCCGACCCGTCCGGGTAAACCCGACCCGACCCGGACGGGTCGACATTCTCAGCATTCCTGACCCGACCCGCCCTTTTGGGCGGGTCGGGTCGGGTAACCCGACCCGTCCGGGCCAAATGCCCATCCCTAGTTGCGCTGCCTAAGATAGGTAGCGGCGCTGCCTAAGATAGGTAGCCACGCTGCCTAAGATAGGTAGCCACGCTGCCTAAGATAGGTAGCCGCGCTCATATGGCTGATCAGTAGTAGCACTCACTCACAGGTAACGGAGGTTTGTGAGCCTGCTAATGGATTCGGGAATCGCGCCCGTCAAGCTGTTGTAGCCAAGATCTCTAATGACGGCACAGAGGAGGAAGGGTACACACGAGGAAAGAGTGTTATACCTTATACTGCATGTTGGACGCACGTGTGAGTAGACCTTGGTGAGGAACATATGAACACTGTTGACGCGGGAAAATGATTACGAGTGCAACCATGGTACATCTCGTAACTCTCCCACATGTTTTCCCTCCCTTAATACATACCTACCACGACTAGGCACAGCACATGACCTTCAAGACTCAGCCACTGGCCCATACAGTGCCGAGGCCATGACTGACCATCTCTCGGCTCCTCTGAGACAGATCCGAGCAGATTGGCATTTCGCTCACAAAAACATGAATTGGTCATCTTATGTTGCTCAATAAAATGCGCTGATCTGGCATAGAATGCTAAGTTACTGTGGAGTGGACGCTGAAAATGGTCAGCGCCCGGCATCTAGACGCCGCGGCAGAGTGCAATGTACATGGATAGTGCACTACATGAGGCCCCAACTGTCATAGTGTTGTGAGCCCAATTTAATTCATTGTGAATGCCGTGCAAAATAGGCTTGTTTTCCAGCATTGGACTGTCTTGTATGGATGTGGCTTGTGCAGATTGCATATGAATAAAAAAGGATAAGTGCTCACATGTAAAAGAGAAGAGAAGCCATTATGCGCCTACCTTGTTAGGCGCAGGCCTTGCCTGGTCTAGCAATGCAATGTCACCATACTCACACTATGTCAGGGAGGTCACGTCCATCCTGGGTTCGCGCTGGCCTCGCCTGGCCTAGCTTGCCCGAGCACTGCGATACTCACAAGTATGTCAGGGTGGTGAAGTCCCCAATGAAAGTGGGAATAGCCCCGGTCACACCACTCAAGTAGAGATCCCTGATGGCATGTCATGTCAGAAGGATTCCACATTGGGATGGAAATCCAGGGAAGGAGATTGGGAGGGCATCAATGAGGGAGGTTACGATGAAGAGTATTGGCTTCTGCTGGCTCATCCAAGAAGCCTGGAAATGTGGTTCGAAACATACATGCCATGCCAACCTTGAACCAGCCAGCCATTCGAGCCGTGGATCGTGCGTCATGTCATCCATGCCATGCGGCGACACACGAGCATTCTACAGGTCGACTTGTAAGTTGTACCCGACTCGTTTTCGCTTGACTCAGTCGAGTTTCGAGCCAAGTCGAGAAAAACTCGAGACGGGCTTTATTCACTAGAATAGAAAGCGACTCGCCACTCAGCTCGTGGGTGGGTGGGTGGGTGGGTGGGTGGGTGGGTGGGTGGGTGGGTGGGTGGGTGGGTGGGTGGGTGGGTGGGTGGGTGGGTGGGTGGGTGGGTGGGTGGGTGGGTGGGTGGGTGGGTGGGTGGGTGGGTGGGTGGGTGGGTGGGTGGGTGGGTGGGTGGGTGGGTGGGTGGGTGGGTGGGTGGGTGGGTGGGTGGGTGGGTGGGTGGGTGGGTGGGTGGGTGGGTGGGTGGGTGGGTGGGTGGGTGGGTGGGGTGGGTGGGTGGGTGGGTGGGTGGGTGGGTGGGTGGGTGGGTGGGTGGGTGGGTGGGTGGGTGGGTGGGTGGGTGGGGTGGGTGGGGGTGGGTGGGCGGGGTGGGGCGGGTGGGGGCGGGGTGGGGGCGGGTGGGGGCGGGTGGGGGCGGGTGGGGGCGGGTGGGGGCGGGTGGGGGCGGGTGTGTGCGGGTGTGTGCGGGTGTGTGCGGGTGTGTGCGGGTGTGTGCGGGTGTGTGCGGGTGTGTGCGGGTGTGTGCGGGCGTGTGCGGGCGTGTGCGGGCGTGTGCGGGCGTGTGCGGGCGTGTGCGGGCGTGTGCGGGCGTGTGCGGGCGTGGTGCGGGCGTGTGCGGGCGTGTGCGGGCGTGGCGTGTGCGGGCGTGTGCGGGCGTGTGCGGGCGTGTGCGGGCGTGTGCGGGCGTGTGCGGGCGTGTGCGGGCGTGTGCGGGCGTGTGCGGGCGTGTGCGGGCGTGTGCGGGCGTGTGCGGGCGTGTGCGGGCGTGTGCGGGCGTGTGCGGGCGTGTGCGGGCGTGTGCGGGCGTGTGCGGGCGTGCGTGCGTGCGTGTGCGTGCGTGTGCGTGCGCGCGCGTGCGCGCGCGTGCGCGCGCGTGCGCGCGCGTGCGTGGGCGTGCGTGGGCGTGCGTGCGCGTGCGTGCGTGTGCGTGCGTGCGTGCGTGTGCGTGCGTGCGTGCGCGTGTGTGCGCGTGCGCGTGCGTGCGTGTGCGTGCGTGCGTGCGTGCGTGCGTGCGTGCGTGCGTGCGTGCGTGCGTGTGTGTGTGTGTGTGTGTGTGTGTGTGTCTCATCTGTGGTGGCTCATATGTCAGCTCAAGGAACTGTTCTCTCACAACAAACGAAGGCTTCTGAGGCGGCTCAAGGAGTCTGGGATGGTGCTCCACAGATTGTTGTCACGAAGGTTCCTGACAAGAAACAAATGAGTTGGAGGGTACGGAAAAGATACTTGATGGGTGGGGGGAGGGGGGGAATAACTACATTTATTACAGAAGTCAGAAATGATGTAACATGGACAGATGCCACACATAATAATCATATGCGCCATGATGGATGTATCTTGACTTTACCAGACAGCAAAGAACGCATACAAACAGCAAGACTCTATTCATCCGCAATTGGGACGTTAGCGTGCTTTCATACATGTCATCAACGAAGATCAGGTCCACACCACAGCGCAACGAGGTGACCTTTGAGTCGACCCTTGAGTGTCTTCTGAGCCGACTCAGAAGCTAGCGTGCTTTCATACATGTCATTAACAAAAATCATATTCACACCACAGCGCAGCATGAATTTCGGAATGTGCCGCTGGACCAGATCAGGGCTCGTGTCACGAATTAGGGACAGAGATCTCACTCACGGCACACATGATCGAACACAATGAGTAAAAAAACTTGGAAGTGTGCAACGTTGTTTTACGCTAGTGCAGCAGAAACGCTTATGTAAAAATGGCTGTGGCGTTCTCTCCCACTTCGGTATTTGAATGGAGTTGATTGCAGCAAATGTCTTACCTGTTTGAGCGATTGGAAGGTAGTAGTGTAGTGTGTACTCACAAAATTGTCAAGCTTGTCAAGTTGCCAATGGCTGAATGAAATGGGCCCAGTAACTTGACTGAGGGTAGCTTTCTACAAAGGGGGACAATGGTGCGATATACAGTATAGGGAAGAGAGACAGACAGGTACAAAAAAGGTCTCATATGTGCAAGCGATGAGAGGAAGCAAAGGAGAGGGGAAGGTGGTGACGTGATGGGTTTTGTAAATATATGGTGGCATTTTTGCGTGGAAACAGCATGTGAAGAGGCTGCTGCTGTTTTCTACCACGAAGGGAAGAGATTCAAAGCCAGAGTGAAGGAGATAATGGAAGGAGGGATGGAGGGAGCGAAAGAGTGACAGATAAAGGGAATAAAAAGGGATCAAGGGAGCGGGGTACAAGCGGGAGTAGAAGGGGAAGGGTGTTGGGTTGGAGGAAAGGGGGGAGGAGGGGGGCGGGGGGCGGGGGGGTGGGGGGGGGTGGGAAGGAAACAACGAAAGCACGAGAAATTAATGTTCTAATAAAGTCACAGCCATGCTGCTGCCATGCACGCTCCAAGGGACAAGTCCCATGGTTTCCTTTTATCATCTCACTCATAAAGGTCTGCTTGCATCAGAAGCATCAGTGTCCATTCACATGCCTGTTAACACTCAAATGACTGCTAACACTCAAATGACTGTTAACACTCAAATGACTGTTAATCAAATGACTGTTAACACTCAAATGACTGTTAACACTCACATGCCTGTTAACACTCACATGCCTATTACCACTCAAATGTCTGTTAACACTCACATGACTGTTAACACTCAAATGCCTGTTAACACTCACATGCCTGTTAACACTCACATGCCTGTTAACACTCACATGCCTGTTACCACTCACATGCCTGTTACCACTCACATGCCTGTTACCACTCACATGCCTGTTAACACTCACATGCCTGTTAACACTCACATGCCTGTTACCACTCACATGCCTGTTACCACTCACATGCCTGTTACCACTCACATGCCTGTTACCACTCACATGCCTGTTACCACTCACATGCCTGTTACCACTCACATGCCTGTTACCACTCACAGGGCTGTGATCATGCCCTTGGCATCGCACGTGACATTCCTTGCCTTGCTGCAGTCCCCACCAGCCACCCAGCCGTCAAACGTTTTGTTCCACGCCTTCTGACAGTCCAGCAGCACTTGCGCTGGCGGCAGGAAGAGAGAAAGGAGGGGATTGAAGGAGAGGACAGAAGGCCAGCGCGTGGGAGAATGAGAGAACGGGGCGTGGAAGCGAGAAGGAAAGGGCGGGGATTGGAAGAGAGGAGATTGGATGGTTCCATCTTGGCTGAGAGCACATGTTTCCAGTTCCTGGGAAGGTGTTGCTACTTCAAAGGCGCTGAAGGAGTCACGAAGCCAGGCAGAGAACCGCGAGGGAAACACGAGGTGGGGCAGGGAGCAGCTAGGAGGAGTCCCGGAGGAGGCCTCCCAGAATATTCATTCTCCTATGTTGCCTCCGCTCCTCTCACCTCTCCTCCAACCACTCTCACCTCCTCCTCCCAATTCTCCTCCCACCTCTCCTCCCACCTCTCCTCCCACCTCTCCTCTCCCACCTCTCCTCCCACCTATCCTCTCCCACCTCTCCTCCCACCTCTCCTCTCACCTCTCCTCCCACCTCTCCCACCTCTCCTCTCACCTCTCCTCCCACTTCTCCTCTCACCTCTCCTCCCACTCCTCTCACCTCTCCTCCCACCTCTCTCACCTCTCCTCCCACCTACCCTCCCATCTCTCCTCCCACCTCTCCTCTCCCACCTCCTCTCCCACATTCTCGCCTCTGCTCCTGGCACTCGCATCAACCACTCCACTATCCTACTCTCCGCCCTGCCCTCATCCCACTCTGTCCGGCGCCCGGCTCGTCCCGCTCCCACCACCCCCACTCTACGCGGTCACATCTCAAGAATGTGCCTCTTCGAATTCACGCAGTGCCAAAAGGCTGTACCGAGGAATCTATTACCGAGGACTACCTCGCTACTCTGCTACCGCGCACCACCTCTTCAGCATCCGCCGGCGAGCTCTCAGCAGAAGAAGTGAGGTGAGACTGCGCGGATGAAACTAAGAAGTTAGGAGAGGCGAGCTACCCGTAAGAAAACGCTTATCGAGCAGCGCGCGCACACACGCTGGGAGTCGGTCAAGGGGACGCAGTCGACTCGTTCTACCCCGAGAGCCGTCACCAGGAGCAGCGCGACGAAGTGCAGGGCTGCGGCGCGCTCCATCTCGCCGCCATGATGCAGCGCGCGGCAAACCCGCGACAGTCGTATGGGAGAACGGGGACCTGGGTAGGTCATTTCGTGTTGGATTGGAATAGTAGTCTTAGAAAATTAGTTGGTTAGGGGTTATAGTAATACACCTACTCAATACAAGGGGCTCCAATGTAACATCCAGAATGGTATAACACAGCGCTTGAGTTTTGGGCTCCCGTGGATGAGCATAAACATTTAAATATAATGGAATCACTCTAGTAAGCGGATTGAAGCGGATTGAAGTGTGTCATTTGTATGCACGTTATGTGGTGACTTATCTCCGATAAAACTCGGGCACAAATGTTGGAATAACAAAGTACTTATCTAAGCATTCTCGAATGCTTCACCTTAGCAAATCGAATCATTACGAGTAAGTGCATGTACCAGTATCGCGATAGCTCGTATAGAGCATGTAGCGAAGGTCAAACAATCGAATCAAGTCGGTGGGCTTGGTTAGCCAACTTCAGTGAAGCCGACCATGATGATGCTGACCAAAGTGACGCCAACGAAGTCGGCAAACGGCATATTGCTTCGGCGTTCGACGACGGTGATCGTCGAGGGCCTCAGAAGTCAGGAATTTTACCTTGAATTCATGAATTTTTACCCTCGTTTTTTATCATGACCCTGATGCATCAACCTTTTTTTTGAAGGACCCCGATGTTTCATTGTTTTTTAATCTCAAACTCTGGTTTTTTTTTATTTTGTGTTTGAGGACACTGACGAGTCAGTGTTGTATCGGGTACGGAGAGTCACTACACTACGGGAGTGGACTACTGTGGAGGGCACGGGGTTGTGCGAGTGATCGTAGCGTTGCACTAACGTTCTTACTGCTTGCTGTGTTCACAGAGAAGTTTTGCAAGAGTTTCCACTAAGGAATTGAAACAACAACGTGCATTCAAAAGTTGATAGTACAATTGAGGCATGCATAACAAAAGGACTAGAATGGCATGCAACACCTAGCAAGGGCGAAATCTGCCAACGCAGCATAAGAGCGGCTTGCCAACGCTGCAGCAGAGTTGTCTGCCAGCGTTGCACTGCGCGCGCTCTGCCAGCACTGCAGTCGCAGGTGACTATCTGCAGTCGCAGGTTGCTATATGCAGTCGCAGGTTGTCTATCTGCGCAGATGTGCGCACCTACCAAGTAGGTGCAGGTTGACGGTCTCACCGCCAGGCACATTGCGCAGGTGCCAAGTAGAAAACGTGTCGTCGGTTTTGCCAGGTACGCACCGTCGACCACGTGATGCCGTTCCGCAGGTAGAACTTCGCCAAAACCTCCTGGGCGAAAGTTCGCACGCCTCCGCAGAGTTTCGCACACCTCTGCAAATTCGGTCGATCAGCTCGACATCGCTCGGTCGAACAGCGTTCGCCGAGCAAAGCTCCTCGACCCGAACTCCTCGAGCAAAGCTCCTCGACCCGAACTCCTCGAGCAGAGTTCCTCGACCTGAACTCTTCGACCAGAGTTCCCCGACCAGTGCTCTTCGACGGGAGCTTGTCGCGCAGAGATCGTCGACCAGAGCTCATCGCGCAGAGCTCGTTGACCGGAACTTGTCGAGCAGAGCCTGCTCGACCGCAACTTCCGTTGAACTGCAGAAGCCCATTTCGTCGACCAATCCGTCGCGAACTTCTCGTCGACGGCGAGATCGGCTGCGCCCAAGCGAGGGCGGGGCCTTTCTCTTCGACACTCCCCTGCCCAGCTCACGCTTGGGCACCCACACACAAGGTCCACCCAGAACCCAGAGGAATAGAATACAAGGAGAAATTTCCTTCTGCGTGCACCCAACACATAGCACGTAGATCACCGCACCAGCCGTGCAGAAGGGCACGGCACCTACTGCTGCACCTCGTCATCCCCGTCGCCCATGTCGGCCAGACGCACTTGGCCGATTGCGACGGAGCACCTGTTGAAAGCCGGAAAATGCAGCGCCTTCGTCAGAAAATCTGCCGGCTGCTCGGTGGTCGGGATGTACTGCAGAGCAATCTTCCCGCGCTTCATGTGCTTTAGGTTGCCCTTGAGCCCCAAGCCCTCTGCGACAGTGATTGCCAACTGGTTGTCCACGTGCAAAACAGTCGGCTTCCTTGGGTCGAGCAGTCGGAACTCTGCAAGGAGGAAGCGTAGACGGCGAGCCTCCTTGCCGGCTTCGGTGGCCGCGACGTACTCTGACTCGGTCGACGAGAGCGTCGCGCACTTGATGCGCTGGCTCGCACTTAATAATAATAATAATAATACTAATAATAATAATAATAATAATAATAATAATAATAATAATAATAATAATAATGCTACTACTACTGCTGCTGCTACTCGTGCTACTGCTGCTGCTGGTGGAGGTGCTGCTGGGAGTGCAGGAGGTGCTGGTGGTACTGTAGGAGCTGGAGGTGCTGGACCTACTCCTGTCTGTCATGGCCACTTCCGCGGCAGTTGCTGTGGTCAGGGGTGGACAGCAGCGGGCACTACTTCTCCCGGACAACCCCACCCCTCAGCAGCTTCGTGAGTGGGTTATTCAGCGAGGTCGTCCTGGTGGTGGAGGTTATCGTTTTGTTAAGACTGCTGCTCTTGGTGCTAGTGAGTCTGCTGCTACTCCAGGTGCTAGTGAGTCTGCTGCCGCTCCAGGTGCTAGTGAGTCTGCTGCAGCTCTAGGTGCCCGTGAGTCTGCCGACGCTCTAGGTGCTAGTGCGTCTCCTACCACAGGTCCTGCCTCAGCTGAGGTCTTGCACACTTTCACGCTTGACTCAGGCGCGTCACGTTGCTTCTTTCGTGATTGCACCACAGTCACACCACTCACAGCACCTGTCCCAGTCTCACTGGCTGACCCCGCTGGGGGCCCAGTAGTTGCGAGAGCCTCCACGGTCCTCCCTTGTCCAGCAGTCCCCTCCGGCTATCTGTCAGGTCTCCACCTCCCCACGTTCTCGACGAACTTGGTGAGCAACGCTGCCATTCAGGATGCCTGGGTTGATACCTTTATTCCTGGAGGGCAGCATGTGGCGATCTGTACGTGCTTCCGGACTGGCCGTCACCTGGCTACGTTCACTCGACAGCCTGGGTCTAGTCTGTACACACTGACCACTGCGTCTGCACAGGTGGCTGAGTCAGGTCAGGTGGCTGCGTCGAGTCGGGCGTCTGCGTCGAGGCAGTTAGCTGCGTCTTGCTCGTGCAGAGTACTCACGCACGAGACTCAGCGCTGGCACCACCGTCTTGGTCACCCCTCCCTGCAGCGTATACGCAGTATGCACTCCCGTTTCCTTGTCTCTGGCCTCCCGAGGACCCTGCCCCCCCTCCCGCGCTCACTTGCGCCGCCGTGCCTTCCTTGCGTCGAGGGGCGGCAGTGCGCCGCTCCTCACTCCTCCGAGTTTCCTCCGACCACTGCTCCTCTGCAGACTCTCCACCTGGACGTGTGGGGCCCGGCCCCAGTCGGTGGGACGGACCTGGAGCGCTACTTCCTGCTGGTTGTTGACGACTACACACGCTACACCACAGTCTTCCCCTTGCGTCGCAAGGCGGACGTCAGCGGTGTTTTGATCCGCTGGATCCGTGCTACTCGTCTCCAGCTGCACGAGCGCTTTCAGCAGGAATTCCCAGTCCTACTTCTGCACTCTGACAGGGGTGGTGAGTTCTCCTCTGGCGTCCTTGAGACGTTCTGCCAGGATGAGGGCATCGCCCAGTCGTTCACGCTTCCGGCCTCTCCGCAGCAAAATGGGATCGCTGAGCGTCGCATTGGCCTGATCATGGAGGTTGCTCGTACCCCCATGATCCATGCGGCTGCTCCCCATTTCCTGTGGCCGTTTGCGGTCCGATACGCCGCGCATCAGCTCAACCTCTGGCCCCGTGCCTCTGCTCCAGAGACCTCGCCCACACTCTGTGGGACGGGACATCCTGGTGATGCGTCGTCGTTTCGGGTCTGGGGCGCGCTCTCCCTTGTTCGCGATACCAAAGCGAGTAAGCTCTCTCCTCGCACTCTCCGCTGTGTCTTCCTGGGCTTCCCCACCGACGCTCCACCCTGGCAGTTTTACCACCCTGCCTCGCGTCGTGTTCTGTCCTCTCAGGACGTCACCTTCGACGAGTCGGTCTGTTACTACCGACTTCACCCACACGCGTCCCACCCGGTCCCCCTCGCGCCTCTCTTCCTAGTACCACTCCCCCCCCGGTAGACCCCCTTCCCCCACAGGGTCCTGCTCCCTCAGGTGTGTCCCAGGTAGACCCACCCCCCTTGGATGAGCCAGTTGAGATCTCTTCTGACTCCTCTTACTAAGCTGAGGGGGGTGACGCCGTCGCCGACGACACGGCGACCACTCGCCACACTCCTCGCTTGGAGACCCCCCCGGGTTTCCCGCCTCAGCCGTCTTTGCCACCTCCGCAGCCTGCTGCTGTGGACTCTGGAGCTGAGGCTGCTGGAGCTGGGCCTCAGAGTGGTACGTCTGGGGGTGACTGCTCTCCTCGTTTGGCTACCCCCCCCCGGTTTCCCGCCTCTGCAGCCTTCTGCAGTGGACACTGGAGCTGAGACTGAGCGTACTGAGCCTGCGGGTGCTAGGACTGAGTGTACTGAGCCTGCGGGTGCTGGGACTGAGAGTACTGAGCCTGTGGGTGCTGGGACTGAGGGCACTGAGCCTGCGGGTGCTGGGACTAAGGGTACTGAGCCTGAGGGTACTGAGCCTGGGGGTACTGAGACTTTGGGTGCTGACTCTGGGGGTGCTGAGACTTCGGGTGCTGACTCTGGGGGTGCTGCGAGTCCTTTTGGAGGTCCTGGAGCTGGAGGTACTGGAGCTACTAGGCCTCGAGGTACTACTGGAGGTACTGGAGCTGCTGCTGGTGCTGG